AAAAAAAAAAAAAAAAAAAAAAAAAAGAAAAAAACAAATTGATAAAATAAAACATAATTTTAAATGATACTTTTTAATCTTTTATAAAAAAATAAAAGTTTATATATTAATGAAAATTCATTTATAATATAGTTTTTCTTTTTAAAATTTAATTTAAAATATGCATAAGTTATTATATATGCTTATATAACATTATAAAAAACATAAGATTAGGCAATGAATTAGAAAGATATAAAAAACTAAAAGCTAAAAACTTGAATGAGAATTACAAAAGTAATTTATGTAAGTCATAGAAATTTCAAAGAAATTATTTTAGAAATAAGCTATTATTCTTTATATTCATTGTAATAATACATATAAAATAAATATCTTTTATAATATAAAAAAAAAAATATAAATTTTTTATATTCTTTATTTCATTAAAAATGGGTAAATTAATTGGATAAAAATAACAAAATATGTTATTACATTAAATATATTCAAATTAAAATTAATGTTACATTTCTGTTAAATATGATTAAAAATCTTAAGGGCAACTATCATTCTTAATTTGATATTAAATTCAAGAGGTGCATTGTTTTGATCATTTTATTTTACTTAGAAGTCTCAAAGAATATTGTTTTTCTTGATTTGAATGTTATATTAATTGAAAGGAATATTATTTATATATATATATATATATATATATATATATATATTTTTGAACAAAAATTTCTGAATAAATTTTTTATTTTAGAATCATATTAATTAATAATCCTTAATTATATTATTTGAGATCAAGTATTCTTTTTGTTCATCGTACATATTAAATCTTTCTTTTGCATATAAAAAAAAGTCAAATTCATTATAGCTTTTTGTTTGATATCCTCTTATGATGGACCAGAATCCCCATATTAGATGAACCCCTAATGCTTGAACTTCAACTGCATCTAAAAATAAATTAACTACTTTTTCATCGGATGCTACGTAAGAGTTACCTAAATAAGCAGATAAATAAGTAGATACAAACAGCTTCCTTAACTCATAAGGAATATATTTTTTTTTATCTATAGTAAAAAATGGATATGTGCTAACAGAATAATCAATAGTGGTTTCATTAAAAAAATTTGCTATATCATTAGATAAATAGTTATAACCAGAATATTCAAAATCAATTAATCGTAAACATTTATTTGTGTTAATAATGTTATTTTCTTGTAGGTCATTATGACAAAAAACAATATGATTAGCAATATTATCTGATTGGGTATATTCCTTTATAAATTTAATAAATTTATCAGATTCCTTAATATATTTATTAATATCATATGTCAATTTGTCTAAATCACTGTATTTCAAAACTTGATTTTTCCACTTTTCCATCCTTTTATAAATACAAGGAGTTTTTTCCCAATGAATTGGTAAAGGATATTTACGGCTTATAGTATGAAATTTCCCTAATACATTAGCAATACCTACTAAAATAGATGGATTTTTTAAATCATCAGTACTTAAAGGATCACCATATAACCATTCCTCTATACGTCCACCATTGAATGTGTTTAAAAGTAATGGTGCTATTTTATATTTACTCATAGTTTTATATACTTCTAATTCATAAATAGGATTATATAATTCTTGTACATCTTTTCCATATATTCGAAATAGAACATGCTTTCTCTTTAAATTGCTTTTTTTCGCTAGATCTTCTTTCAAAGATACTTCAAATAATTGATTTGTTAAACCACATAATATTTGATTAACACATATATCATCTTCAGTTAAATCATTCCAATCATGTACTTTTTCTAAACAAATTTTTTTAATGTGTAGTGGATCTGTTAAATCAGAAAATTCTTGAGCACATAATGGAATATCATTTTTTTTATTTATTTCATGTAATGGAAATGGATTTTTTGATATTTCTATTTCATTATTTAATTGAATAGTAGTATAATTTTTTAAATCTTGAGAATAACATAAATCTCCATTTTTCACTAAATTTATATTACCTCTGTTATTTCCAATACCCCTTGAATTGTTTTTATTAATATCAATTTGTTCATTTATATTAACTTCCATTTTACCTTTTTAATTTTTTTATTATCTTTTTTTTTTTTTTTTTTTTTTTTTTTCTTA